AGACTGGAGATCAACAGACATAGAGACCTAGATGGACACACTGATCGACAGAGGGACCGAAATCGACAGAGATCGACAGAGAAGAGACCCACATGGACACCGACAGACCAAGATCGCTGGAGACAGACCGAGATAAAACAGGGATCGACAGAGACAGACCGACATCGACACAGAGAGTCCAAGATCGATAGCCAGATCTTTCAAAAAATCTTTGATTTGCGGCGGCGTCGGATGCCAAGTGGAGTGTGTCCGAGATCTCGGAAGGCTGGGACACCGGAGCCCACCGCGCTTGGGTGGTCAAGCGGGGGTCACGAACCCTTTGATTTGTTCAGTGGTTGTGTCAAGTGGTTTATGAACTTGAAATGTTATTTTGTGTTTACTACTTTGAAGATGAACATATGTTACTCCTTCTGTGTTTACGAACATTTTAGAAATGAACCCTTGTTGTATCTCCTTTTTCTGTGTTATCAACCGCTTTGAAATGTACTCTTCGTTAAAATATTTAAACCATTTGAGAAAGTTACTCTCTTTTGTGTAAATATTGTTGGCATAAGATTTATACTTTGGACTTTTTCTTCGAACTGACACCTTTTTGAAAGCCAAATAAACCTATTTCGAAGTCACTTATATTTGTGAAAAAAAAAAAATATTAATTTTGCACCTTTTTGCTTAAGCTTACAACCTTTTTTACTTGAAATATTCTTACATCATTTTGAGAAAGTTACTCCTTTTGTGTAAGAATTTTTGGCATAACATTTATACTTTGTGCTTATATACTCTTTCACAGAAGGTGTAAGTTTGAAGAAAAAGTATAAATCTATGAGAAAAATTTTATTTCACAAAAGGAGTAACTTTTCAAGAAAAATCATAAGCAGTTTCACGAAAAGGTATAAAGCCGAAGCAAAAGGTGTAAATTTGATGAATTTATTTTTTCACAAAAGGATATAACTGACTTGCGAAAAAGCTTTAAGTTGAGCATCCACAAAGTGTAAGTTCGAAGAAAAGGTATAAATGTTATGCCAAAAATTCTTACACAAAAGGAGTAACTTTTCGAAAAAAATATAAACACTTCCACGAAAGTATAAAGCTTAAGCAAAAGTGTAAATTTGATGAATTTATCTGTTCACAAAGGTATAAGTGACTTCCGAAAAAGTTTTAAGTTGGCTTCCCACAAACGGGTTAAGTTCGAAGAAAAGGTTAAATCTTATCAAAATCTTAAAATCACAAAAAGGAGTAACTTTTCAAAAAAAATTTAAGCATTCCCACGAAAGGGTATAAGCTTATGCAAAAGGTATAAATTGATGAATTTATCTTTTCACAAAAGGTATAAGTGACTTGCGAAAAAGCTTTAAGTTGCCTTCCCACAAACGGTGTAGAGTTCGAAGAAAAGGTATAATTTATGCCAAAAATTCTTACACATAGGAGCTAACTTTCAAAAAAATATTAAGCACTTTCACAAAAGGTATAAGCTAGGGAAAAGGTATAAATTTGATGAATTTATTTTTCTCACAAAAGGTATAACTGATTGACAGACTGAGATCGACAGACATAGAGACCGTTTTTAAATATAGAGCAACGGACAGAGAGATAGAGAGAGAGATAGACTGAGATCAACAGACATAGAGACCTGGATGGACACTGATCGACAGAGGGACCGAAATCGACAGAGATCGACCGAGAAGAGACCCACATGGGCACCGACAGACCAAGATCGCTGGAGACAGACCGAGATAAACAGGGATCGACACAGAGAGACCGACATCGACACAGAGAGACCAAGATCGATAGCCAATCTTTCAAAAAAACCTTTGATTTGCGGCGGCGGTGCCAAGTGGAGGTCCCGATCTCAGAAGGTTGTAAGCACCGGAGCCCACCGACGCTTGGGTGGTCAGCGGGGGTCATGACCCTTTGATTTGTTCAGTGGTTGTCTCAATTGCGTTTTATGAACACTTCGAAATGTTACTCTTTCTGTGTTTACTACTTTCAGATGAACATATGTTACTCCTTCTGCGTTTACGAACATTTTGAAATGAACCCTTTGTTACTCCTTTTCTGGTTATTAACGCTTTGAAATGTTACTCCTTCATACTTTTCGTGAAAATGTTTACACCATTTTTTGAAAAGTTACTGCTTTTGTGTAAGAATTGTTGGCATGAGATTTATACTTTTTCTTCGAACTTACACCTTTTGTGAAAGGCCAACTTAAACCTATTTCGGAAGTCACTTATACCTTTTGTGAAAAAAAAATTTCATCAAATTTACACCTTTTCTTAAGCTTATACCTTTTTCGTGGAAGTGCTTATATATTTTTTAAAAGTTACTCCTTTTGTGTAAGAATTTTTGGCATAATATTTATACTTTTGTGGTTATATACTCTTTCACAACAGGAGTAAGTTTGAAGAAAAAGAAAGTATAAATCTTATGAGAAAAAATTATTTCACAAAAGGAGTAACTTTTCAAAAAAAATATAAGCAGTTCCACGAAAAGGTATAAGCTGAAGCAAAAGGTGTAAATTTGATGAATTTATTTTTTCACAAAAGGTATAAGTGACTTCCGAAAGCTTTAAGTTGGGCTTCCACAAAAGGTGTATGTTCGAAAGCAAAAGGTATAAATCTTAATGCCAAAAATTCTTACACAAAAGGAGTAAGTGTTCATAAAAGGTGTAAATGATTTATACTTTTCAGTAATCAGTTACGCCTTTTTCTGAAATTCCTTACGCCTTTCTTGAAAACTTATACTTTTCTTGTGACCATTTACACCTTTAGTCATATAATATATTATTTTATTAATTTACCTGGAAAGTGACCTGCTTAGCAGGTCACCAATGTGTAAGTTTCCAAATATTTTGATATAACCCAATACATATAAATGTGTAAATGCAAAATAGAAGGGTGTAAGTGCCTTGCATACCATATGCAAGGCACACATGAGAAAAGTCCTAAATGGAAATCAAATTTATTAATTTTATCTGTTTGTATATCTGTGGTTATTTTATAATATAGAATAAAGATATAGATAAATATAACAACTTTCATAAAACTATTATCTCATTTTTTGGGGAAGAGAGAAAGAATACAAGTTTTAATATTTTTTTTTAAAAAATCGGTGAGAGAGATTAGGATGGAAAGATTAAGAAATATTTTTGTTATTAAATAAATAAATCAGTCAATAGTTTTTTTAATCTTTTTATAAATTAAAAAATCTATAATTTAGAAAATTGATTAATTTGTCCCATTAAGTGATTTAAAAATTTGATAGATATATACAAAAAAATGTATAATTATATTACTAAATCATAATTCAAATTTAAATGTTATATTTTTTGAGATTCATATATAAATTTTTATCTTCTTTATTTTTGTGTGTAACCATAGTATATAAGAGAAATTAAAAAAGATGCTGCAGTAATTATGAGAGAAATCAAAAGAGTTTGTAGATTGGAAGAAGTCAATAAATAGTGAGATTTTTTTTTGTTAAATCAAAAAATTAAAAATTAAGATTAAGATATTAAAACTTCCACAAAATTTATAGATTATAAATTTTTTTCTCTTTTTATATAATATATAGATAGATTTGACCGTGATGGTTCAAACTCGCT